CGATAAGTCACGGCAGGAGGTGGGCTCTGTGTCCTGCATGGGTGACAATAGCTGAACGCTGGCTGAGCTCTCGTGGTGTGTTCAGTTCAGAAGCCCGAACCTGTCCACATGAGAGGTGGGGGTTGACCGGGTTGGGAAGGGATTCCCGGTAAGATTTTCAGGAACTTCTGATTTAGCCCTTCAGAAAGGAGCAGGACCTGCTCCAGGTCCTTTGTCTGCTGTGGCAGAAATGGAGGAACCAAAAGGTTAAAACATAGAGAAGCTTCAAAATGGCCAAAGGGCAGCTGCACACACGGGCTTAAGTAAAATCACTGGCCACTGTAAGGCCCGTTATTAAGGGTTAAAATGAGATTTATGAGGCCTCCTTGGAAGCCTGGGAGGGCTAGGCAGGGACACGGGTGCCCGAAGAGCTGCCCCACTGTCCCTTAGAGGTCTCTGTGGCCCAGGCGTGTAAGAGACTTGCCTGTGCCTGAAGCCACATCTGATAGCACAGGGTTGGTATCTCTTTTCCGTTCAACTATAATATCTGCTAAAGAATAGTGAATACTTCCAAGTACAGCAACATCGTAAAGCTTTGCTCTTATCCTCCTGGGTGTCGGCAGGTAGCCCAGCCCGTGAGCGGAAAGGGGGCGAATACTCTTGGCAAGCCATCAGGAAGGTCACTGTTCTTTAATCTGGAGCTGTGATTTAGCCAGCTTTTTCCCTTCAATTGGTAAGACGGGACACGTGGGGATTACCGGAGCTATACATAGATTGCTCTTGGCTGTGTCCTGTTCTGCTGGGAACGTTAAGGACAGTGCCATCCTTGGGGCTGGGGACCCTCTGGGCTGCTCGTCCATTGCTGGTCACCCTCCGCCGAGAGTTTCTCTGCCGGTGCTCAGTGGGGCCCTGGCAGGATTGGAAGGGGAAATCACTGAAGCTGGAAGCGCTCACGAGTTGGGTTTCCTCAGAGAGAAATCCATCAGAAAGGATAAAAGTGTAGTCTGGCTATTGCTTCCCAGGATGGGAGTGAAAATGCAATTCTGAATTTAATTTGATGGGGGTTTTGTTTGAACACAAGGTTTTGTCATGTTTAAGTGCATGTGCAGCTCATCAGGTGATCAGTGCTGGATTCTGTGTGCCCGTGTGTGCACAAGGAGATAAGCTAAGGCGTAATCCAGAACTCCTCAGCTTGATAACCCCTTATCTCTGAGCACGTGCTGCACGTGGGTCCCTTTGCGGGATGGGGGCTGGCTGTGTAAACACAATTGCTGGGTTTAATATCGAAGTTTTGGGAGAGTCCTGTTTTATTATCTCCTAAATTAGTGGGGGAAGCACCCAAAAGTGAGCTTCTGACCGAGGATGTACAAGCAAGCAGAAGGTAGTTGGTATTGGCTAACTTGCCTCTCTGAACTTTTCTTTAGGATACCGTTGAAATTACAGCCTGTTCCACAGAGCTCATTAACACTTTAATACTGGATACTTAGATTTCTAATTAATACATGTCAGTAAGGGTGTGTGCAAGGTAACGCACAGTGTGCGTAGGTTTTAGTATTCTGTTTTGATATTTAGATTACATTTGGCAACAAATGCTCTGTGTAAAGTACTTGAAATCCTTTGAATTCCAGTGGATCAGAACACAAGCAAGAAGTGTTATCCTAGGTGAAGCTGCTTAGCCCAGTATATGCAAGTCAGTGTTTTTTCATCGAAGCTAGCAGCTGCTCAGTTGATTCTGGGCTGCTTATTGTCGAAGTGTGGATTGACTGTGTGAGAAGAGAGAAAAGAAAAAAATGTATAAAACTAAGTACAGACTACTCCAAGTGTTACATTTTGCTGCATACTCCCAAGTACTGCACTGCCTAGTAAAGGAGTTCTGTATGTATTTAATGGCATTGAGGAATCTAGCAAGTCTCTCCTGGACTGCAGCGAGGGAGCTGTGTTGCTGTAAAACAGGGACTTGAGCATACAAACAGTTTTGGGTGCTCTAATGGGTTAGTGAGACCTTTTTGTGTACACCTTGTTTTGATATTTGAGGGACAGTGTCTTGCTTGGCATCCAGGATTCCTCCAAGGTGACAGCTTCACTTGAGGACAAAAAAAATACTATTTACAGGCGTAGCTGAAAGTGAAGTTTCCTGTTGGCAGAGCGGGGTTGAGTCACTGCGGTTCTGAGTCAAGGGGCAGGATTCTCCCTTCACTGCAGCAGGTTTTTACTTCCAGATATGCTCTTAGAGCAGCAAGGTCAGGTGTTTGTCACTCTTCTGCCCCTTACTGAGAAAACGAGGCCAGGATTCTCCCTTCACTGCAGCAGGGTGGGTGGTGAGCACACCCTCACCGACCCTGAGGGCAGCTGCACCCACAGCACTGGAGCTCAGTAGTAAAGCTCTAGCTGTGCCTTTCTCAATCCATCCAGTTACTTATACTGGCATCCTTTCACAGAGCTACAAGGGTTATTTGTACCAATGACTATTCTCGGTGGCATTCGCTGTGTTTGCCTTTTACACACCACGTGTGGTGTCTTTGCATCCAACCAGGTGTTTCCCAAGAGGGGAGGAGGACTGAGGATGTTTCCAACTGCATCCATCCCCAGAGATTTGAGATTGGCCTCCACATTTCATGAAGGGTGTGGTTTTTTCTTTTATTGCAGGTTAAATGCCAAAGTACGCTGGAGAACCACGTGTATGTATAAGCATTAAATGCTCCTGTGCAGTTCTTGCAGAAAATAAAAAAATAAAATAAATTTAAAACCAAAGTGCTGGTGAAGGTGTTGAAGCTGTGCCAAGGATGCTCCTCTGTAGCTCCTGTAATAGCTGTTGATCTGTAGGAGGCGGTCTCTAACGATATTGAAGGTGCTAGTACTGTAGGAGGATTTACCTCTCTTGTGTTTACAGCAAGAGACAGTAATTTTTCATCCTCCTACCTGTTTGAATTGTAGTCTCCTTTTTTTTTTTTTTTAACTTTTAAGAATGCCTGAACAGCACTGCTGAGAACCTAAAGACAATTTCCTTCTAGGGGAAAAAATTAGTTTTATACGGCAGTTTAAACTATTTCACTGGAAAAGGGTGCTAACTACATTTCATAAAGGAGATTGTAGGCAGACTTTAGCATTCACTCTTTTTACATACTTGAAGACACAGAGAAAATAGAATTGTTTTGTGTGAACTTGTGGTGAAGAATGAGGAATTAACCTGGTTTCAGGAATACTCAGATTGAAGTGACCTTTATGTCAGGAGGAATAGCAGAACACCATCTTTTCTGAACTGCTGGGTTTAGCGTTCTGGGTATAGCTTGAAGCAAAAGGGGCAGATGCCACTGTTACTAATGATCTGCTTGTGGTGGAAATCTGTAATTTTATAGCAAGTCCTGCGTGCTGGTGATGCTGCCACGCAGAGGGGAACCGCCACGTCTCGCTGGCACAGGTTCTGTCAGGCAATGGCTTTGAGTAGCTCAGAAAAAAAGAAATAACTGGCAAGAAGCGGGGGAAAAAAGAGGTGAAAGCACCTGTTTTGTTACTTGGACAACCTGTGTTTCCAGACACCATGCTTTAAAAGAAAAAAAAAAGACACGTTTTTGTTCACATCCAGAACGCTTGTGTGTATCTCCTGTGGCAACAAAATAGGGTGGCTTGATTCCCTACCCAGCTCAGCCGCTGAGCAGGAAAGGCCAAGTGACTGCAGATTGGCAGGCTGTGTGAAAATCCTGAAGTGCTCGTCTTTAAGACCACATTTAATCCCAAGTAGAGTTTTTTTCATCTATAACTTGAGTCAACGGAAACTACAAATGGCTTGTCTGACTAAAATCTCTTCTGTAGCTGTTAGCAATTAATAAATCCCATTTTTCTTGACCTTTCCCATTACTCCTTGCACCCACCCATGGTGCTGTGCTTTTGCTTTGGTGTTGGATGTTCACTTCCAGGCAGGAGAGCCTGGCCTCTGTCTGTCTGAGCAGTTTGGCCACTCGTGGGAGCCAGAGCCCTTGTGCAACTTGAAGTTTGATTTTTTTTTTTTGATTTTTTTTTTTCCAAAAGTAGATCTTGTCAAAGCAGAGTCCTTCAACTTTTGTCTTGTATGCTGCTTTGACATTAATGTCCATAACACTATTGTCTCTTACTTGAATTATGGTGTGACTTTGGAAGAAAATGTTGGATTTGAATGCATGTGGCTTTTGCTGAAAATGTAGCACAATTGTATGCAAAACAAAAGCAGAAAATATGGAATCTGATAGTTGTAGTGTCAGTGTTTTGCTGTAGCAGTTGAATTTTTTTCCTATGAAAATTGCAGTCATGCTCTCACAATTCATTTTTAAATCTCTGTAACAAAGCATGACTTGATTTTTACAATAGCAAAGTGTCTTGCTTTGGCAAAGTTTACTTTTTTCTTATGTGTAATATCCTATTACACTAACTCACATGATTCCTACTATTATTCTCCTTGCATCCTCTATTCTGGGATTTCAGATGGGTACTAAATACTCTTTGCTTCCTCTCATAACCCTCCCTGTTGTTTTCTGGAGAGAGCTGTCAATTTTATTGAGCTACTGCCATAGACATACAGTCTGACTCCTGCAGCTGGAGGTGACTGTTCAGAATCAAGAATCCACACAGATTTTGAGTCATCATACAGATAGACCTGTATCTGTTCCACAGATTGATATGAAATGACTTATTTGCTTGCCTTGATCATGGTGGGGCTTTCTGTGGTATTTCTTGTAAGATTTTACATGATTATTTTGATGCTTTTTAGGTGTTATCTTCTAGATAGGTGTTCTTATATGTCGAAGACAGTGAATACTCCTGTTAATGAAGTTTGTATAAATGTGTGTTTTAAGGTTCCTAGAGGGGGAGACAAGTTCTTGGCCTTTTTAGAAACTTCAAACTCTTAGTTAAGCATTCTTCCAACACCAACAACAAAAATCCATAAAACCTTCCGTTTGTCCTAAGAGCTCATAGATCTGTTGCAGTTCATAAACTCGGAGGCCATGAACTAATGCTGTTCACTCTTCGTGGTGTTGTACATTTTACAGAAGGCGTTTTATCTCCCAGCGCTGCTCTCTAGACTTTTTAGAAGACATAGTGGAATGTGCCAGTGTACGAAGGTACTTTTTTTCTCAAAAGCAGCATTAATCTCAGCTCGTTGCATGCAGTCCTCTCCTCCCTCCACCCTCTTCCACGCCAATATCTGAGGTCTTGCATGCTAGTGCTGCCATCTGATCATACAACTGGCATCTCCTTTTTTTTTTCCTTCTTTTTCCAGAGCACTTAACGGATGTTTGGTTTGGGGTTTTTTTCTATAATTGCAGAACCAAGCATATATCTGGGTCTCCAAGGCACAAAAGTTTGAAGAAGATGCACTTCATCAAGAACATGCGGCAGTATGACACCAAGAACAGCAGGTAACTCCTGGAGGTCAGGGTGCCTCGTGATGTCCTTGGGATCTTCTCAGGTTTTTTTACATCCTTCTAACAAAGGCAGTAGGTGCTTGTATCTGCTACATCTGCAGCAATATTCTGATGATTCTGCCAGGCGACTTTGAGGAGATTAACTCATTCTCTTCTAACACCCTCCTTATCTCAGGCACACAGAGAGGTCAGAACTGAGGTGGATTTAAGGAGAGTGGTTTGGTTCAGCCGAATTCTTGGCTCATAGTTGCTGGGCGGAAGAGAAAGGAGGCTGCATTCATGTTTACTATTAATAGAGGTGTGAGACTTCATCTAAATGTAAAATACTGTCTAGGGCTTTGCACAAGGTTTCTGTAAAAGTTACATAAATATAGATGCAGACTTAAAGACTAGTATCTCCTCTGAGGAGCTTCCAAGGTGATGACAGTTACTGAATGCTGGGGTTTGATATAGAACTTGGCTCCAAGGACCTACAAGGTTGGAATGAAACCTCTGCTTTTGTGCTGCTTTCTGAAAACATAAAATCCACCCAGTATCTGTGTAACTTACAGAGCAATTTAAGAGGAGTTCTGTATTCATGTTCTGTAAAAAGCTGCTTTAACTTCTGAATCTTAATTTTTACCCTGGTCTTTTCCTGTCTGCTTACAGGATAGTGTTAATCTGTGCTAAACGAACACTGTGTGTGGCTTTTTCTATCCTACCTTATGGGGAGAGTTTACGGATCAGGTGAGTCATCTTTAACTGCTTTGTGAAATGTCTGGACTGTTTTTTGAAAAAGATCTTTTACAATGAGCATGGTTGGTGTAGGTCTCACATTTTGAAGCAGGCAAACTTAACTTACTATTGATGTGTAAGGACAGAGCAGTAAAATCGGATGTTGTCACAGTGTCAGTGTTCTAACAGAAAAAAAAGTGGAAAAGATAGACTTTTCTTCAGGTGTTCACGTTTTAGTACCCCAGTCCCATGAAATCCCTGAAACCGACTTTGAACAGATGATGTGGTGTTTTGTAGGATTTCTTGTACTCCTAAAGTGGACAGAAATCAACTGTCTTTAGTGCAGCAAACAACATCAGCAAAAAAGCACACAGGGAAGGATGCTGTTGCCTTTCCTGGAAACCTTCAAGGTTTTGTAGTGAAGTAACATCTAAATAAGCTCAGGATGCTCTTCTGTTTTTCAGCTCTAGGCCATGAATGTCACTATTTGCAATCTAAGAAAAACAGGAACAGTTTACACCGATTGAAACAACTTTTAGTGTTTGTACTACATTTTTGCATAGAACTGTCGATACGTTCCCTTACAAAACCAAAACCTGCTCACTGGGCTTCCCTGCAGCTTTGCTCAGTCCCTTGTGAAACCTAAGTTGATGCTGTGAAGGTCTGTGATCTACAAATATACAGTAGAAAATACTCATTTTATTCTAATCCACTTCTGCCAAAACAATTGTATTGTCACTTCTGTCCTGTCCATAACTTACAGGCGAAGGAAACGGATGTTTAGTGGTGGGAATGGTATTGTATGCAAATACACTTGCCGTAAAAATAGTTGATGGGAAAATATTCTCTCCCTTCACAGCAAACAGCAAGGTCACTGGAGCTATTTTAGAGCAGTTCTGAGCACTGTGGTGTTCTGCTTGTAAGCCGGCAGTGCAGTTCTTCAGCTGAAGGCTGCTTTTTCACATCGGAATATAGGTGACAAAGCTGCCGCTGCTGGAGCAGTTCTGCTAGAAGCCTTAATTTTCAATTTGAGCTTGTGTGCACAGTAACTGGAAAATTTCAATTCAAAGGCAAATCCTGGAAAACTAGTACTATAAATGATGTTTGCTGATAGATTTTGAGCGTTAGTGTGTTAGGAATGGGATGGTCTTACGCAGAAAGATCATGTTAGTTTTCCTTTGATAGGTCTGTTGGTACAGGCTTTTGTTAAAATGAGACGAAATGCAATTCTTTGATTAATGGACTCCTCTGTTTTCAAGAGTAGTTAAAAATTAGTGCTTTCATGGAGAACTCTGACCTGGTGGTGTTGGCCATAGCTAATGGATGGATCTTGTGTTTACCATAGAGGAAACTGGGCTTGCACCACACTTTATAACAGCGTTTCTGATCTGCATTTAGTGATCTCAAAATGGAAGGACAGAAGCAGCGACATCCTTCTGGGGGAGTTTCAGTCTCCACTGAGATGGTGCTTGGACTGGAAGGCGTAGAGCTAGGTGCTGATGGCAAGGTAAGGGGTTTTCATTGTTGTTTTTAGAGTTAGTTTTTATTTGTCTCTTGATTTGTACTGCCAGTGACAAAACCAGTGACAAGAGCAGGGGACAGCAGGTGGGCAAGCTGGCTTTCTTTCACTGTAAAACCGCTTCCTGCTGGGGCAGATCAATTTCTGGATGGGAAAGCACTGCATAAACTGAGAGCTGTGACTTTTCAGAGCAGTGGAAGTTTGCTTAGATCCTTACTTTGAAATTTTAGGCTTGTGACAAAGCTGCTTCTGAGGAGGCTGTTGAAGCTTGTGATCACTTCTGCCTCTGTTTCTGGAGAATTGATTTTACTCTGGTATCTCTGGCAACATGAGTGATGTTTTGATAGAAATATGAACAAAACGTGTACCCCTTTAGTTAAATTTATATACAGAGAGAACTTTTCTCATGTGATTCTCACCTTTGCCACCCCTCTAAATCTTCTACAACACTTCCATTCTGAAATTCTGGAATTGAGGCATTTCTCATGTAACTTGTCCCTTTCTTTCTGTCATCACAATTTCAAGGTCCCCACTCCAAATACACACTCCAGAGGACTCTTGAGTTGGGCAATCCTAGGTGCCTGGAAGTAAGCTTTTCAGTAAATTTCCCCCTATAACTACTACAACTTTCTCTCCTTTAAGGTTGTGTCCTATGCAAAATTCTTGTATCCGACCAATGCCCTCGTTGTTCGCAAAGCTGACACCCATAGTGTTGTCGCCTCCTGTCGAGCTAGCGCTTCACGGAGTCTTCCCGGGTCAAGGTACAAACCTGTGACAGCAAAAACAATACCAGCAGGAACAGATATCGGTAAGGACAGCTGCTGGCTTTGCCATCACTTGTGCGTGCGGCAGAAAAGCATAAAAGGAATATATTTGTCTGAAACAACTGTAAGTGGTGAAGTTCACTCTTGGGAAGGATGTGCTGCAGCTGGAAGGAGGCTGGGTCTGGCACAGCCTAGTAAAGAAGGCTTATTAATGAAGTATAAATGAGGAGCCTTAGGACTGAGACCTGCACATGTTCCTCACATCCTCCATACATCGAGCCTAGTTCTGCTAATGCAGTTCAAGGAGCACAAAGCTTTTTCTTTGGAAGTGTGAAGTTTTAAATTGCTCAACAAGAAATATCTGGTGTACTTGGATGCAGGTTGCCTCCTTGCCTGAGACCCTTAATGTTTGCTATTTGAAAACTTCTTTTTTACAGAGCTTTAAATTCCCCGTTTTCTCTTTATCTTGTGACGCAATGTGCTTTCCTTGTTCTGTTAGGAAGTGAAGCTGGGGAAGCTGCAGAGTATGATCCAAATCTTCTGGATGATCCTCAGTGGCCCTGTGGAAAACATAAACGTGTTCTCATCTTTGCCTCTTACATGGTGAGTGGCTCTCAATGACCAAGTCTTAAAACCCCAGTAACCATTTGCTTTCAAGAAGCAAATGACAATGTGAAGACATGCATCAGGTTGGTCCTCAGCAAGCTGAGTGTACAAACTCAACTGTTTATAATTATTTTACTTCACAAAAAAAATCACACTGGCCTTGAGGTGGCAATTTCTTGTCATTTGCTTCTCGTAAGCAGAAATGTTAAGTTGTGAATAATGAAATTCAGGTTTGCCTTTGCATTGGCGTTTTTGGAAAACTTGTTTGCTGTCAGTGCTGTTCTAAAGGGAAATGACAAATTTTGCCTCCTGCATTTCAGACTACGGTCATAGAATACGTGAAACCCTCGGACCTTAAAAAGGATATGAATGAAACCTTTAGAGAGAAGTTTCCGCATATCAAGTTGACACTGAGCAAAATTAGGAGGTAAGAAACAAGCACTGAATAATGAGAACGCTGTACAAGGCTGCTTTATATCTTCCACTTGTATGGAGCAAATACTAGGTCTATTAATAGTATATATGATTAAACACTCATCTCTTGTTGCCAGTTTTGCTGACTGTGGGATGACAGCCCAGTACAGGAATGTTTAGGATGCTGAGGAAGGGTAACAGTTGATTTTCACAGATCCACCTACAAGGGTTTTTTTTCACCACCTGTGGTGTACTAACACTTGGAGTCAGTTAACAGTAAAGCAGTATTAACCTTGAAACTAATATGTGCAACCTGCTTGTTTGGCTGTAGTAACTGGACTATTTTTCTGGATCCTCTGGCTATTTTTGCCTTTCGGTTGCCAGACTCGCTGATGACTATGGACTCTAACAAGATTCTAGGATTAAAGAGGTTAGATCTGGGGAGTCTTGGTAAGGAAAAAACATTTTGTGAAGGCAGGACTATGCCACACAAAATTCCTCATCTTCCAGGAAGTGGATTTAGCTGCTTATCAGCGAGATGCGCTGTTGCATCTTCAGAGAGCTGGGTCTTGCTGGTATCACACAGAGGTTAATGCAATCAAAGCCTTTTGAAGTAGCCAGCTTAAACACGATTCTGCTGAATCACCAGGGCTACATGAAACTCGGCTCCAGGCAGAAGGCTTGCTCAGGCAGAGTATGTGTTCTGCCAGTGTCCTGCATATTCCTCTTTGTAGCTGTTCCGAGATGTTCTTGCAGATGTAGCATGGGTGGCATCCACCATAAAACCTGCCTTAATGCTCAAGTGAAGGGCTGGCTGATGTGGGAAGCGTATCAAGCAATCTGCCTTTCCCCTCAGATCTGATTCTGCCACGAGGTGTGCAGCAGCCAGGTCTCTGTGCAGCAGCTGCTGTGATCGGCACGGCTTTGATGTGGGATGCTGTAGGTCAGGGTGGTTCAGGCTTATGATGTTCATCATGAACCAGTTTGGGAGCCCAGAAGGAATCGTACAGCAAGAGCCTGTGTGTCAGTGAGGAAGCAAAGCCCCTGATGTTTATGGGCAGATGAGGAACTGTTCTTCCACAGTAGATGTTGTCAGCCAGGTTAAATTGGTTTGTGCATCAGCTCCAGCCTGCTGCCAGCCAGATTTCCCCAGTCTAGGATAATACTCATCATGGCTTTCCAGATAGGAATCATAGAATATTTTTGGCTGGAAAAGACTTTCAAGATCAACTTCAACCTTTTCCTAGCCCTATGAACACCACTAAACCATGTCCCTCGACGCAACATCCTGGCAGTCTGGTGAGGTTCCCACAGACTGGAAAAGGGCGAACATAACCCCCATATGTAAAAAAGGGACCAAGGACAACCCGGGGAACTATAGGCCAGTCAGCCTTACCTCTGTGCCAAGTAAAATCATGGAACAGATTCTCCTGGCAGCTGTACTGAGCCGCATAAAAAGTTATCAAGTGGTTGGTGACAGCCAACATGGCTTCACTAGGGGCAAGTCGTGCCTGACTCATTTAGTGGCCTTCTACGACAAAGCTACAGCACTGGTTGACATGGGAAAAATAACCGATGTCATTTTTCCTGGACTTGTGCAAGGCGTTTGACA